ACTCTGCACAAGATCATCAGACCGGAACAAAATTCGAACTTGATCTGTAACTTAGAATGACAAAAAAAAGTGCGGAAAACTGATTATTTGAGTGAATTTTCTAAGCCAAGGACCGTAACTCTGCACAAGATCATCAGACCGGAACAAAATTCGAACTTGATCTGTAACTTAGCATGACAAAAAAAAGTGCGGAAAACTGATTATTTGAGTGAATTTTCTAAGCCAAGGACCGTAACTCTGCACAAGATCATCAGACCGGAACAAAATTCAAACTTGATCTGTAACTTGTCATGATAAAACAATACACCAAATAGAAAATTAATATCTTCAAGCATGAAGAAAAAAAGTGTTGAAAACTGATTTGCCGGACTGAATGACAGACTGCCAGACGGACGGACTGACGGACGGAGGGACAGAAACACGGACAGATGGACAGACAGATACAGACAGACAGACAGACAGACAGAGTGCAAACCTAAAGTCCCCTTCCACTTCCTAGGTAGGGGACTAAAAAGATATAGAGGCCTAGAGCATTTGTGTCCACACACAAAAAAAATATTAGTCAAGCTCTAAATTTTTCTCAGTCAATAAAAGTATTGGATAAATAAACAAAAACAATCAACCATTTGCTATAAACACAATCTCTCCAGATAATGAAAAACAATAAGATTTGACATACAACAACTAGGGATGAAGTTCAATTTATTTGAAGGCTGGATCTGAGCATTGCTGGTCTTCTTATGGACCTTAAAACAATTAAGCATGACCTCTATAATCATGATAATGTTGTGAGTTACAAAACTTTCAGAAAACTAGAAGACTCAATAATTACTAACCACTTCAAAATTAACTTTATACAATATTAATTAAGTATTTGAAGACGATTAAAAAAATTTAAAGATTAAACAAAAATTATGTATGTTTTTGTTTATAATTTATGATTGAAACATTAATCATGTAAACCTACCAATGACTGTCAGTGTGATGTAAGAACTTGTCCCTTTCCCATATTCATTTCTAGCAATGCATGTATAGGCTCCTGTGTCATTTTTGTCAGTAATCAAGATGGTGAGAGATGATGTGTTGTAATCACCACCACTGTATTTTGAGTTTATTATAACTTCTGTAGATTCATTATCATGTCCAGTCTTTTTCATCCAGTAAACATCATAGAACACCAGGTCTGAAGTTACGTTACTGGACAAAGTCACAGAGCTTCCAATGTAAACATCATATGAAGACTGTGAAATAGTAACGTTTGGTGGAGCTAAAAAGCAGAAATAATAGTGGTAAATATATTTCACAAGTATCATTATGCTTATACTTAGAGAAAAGGTTATTCAAAACAAATTTAAAGTCTGTTCAGTTGTTCATATTCACAAATTAAAACCAGAGGATCTGATGAGCTTGTAAACAGGCGTATTATTGAGATATTAGTAAATATTAGTATAAAAATTGATGTGATAACCACAAAAGAGATTCATAAAAGAATCATTTAAATAACATAAATGTGGAAAGTGTCCACATGTGGACACAGATGATGCCCCTGCTTGCATATCATATAGTTATAAAGGGACATAACTGAAGAACGGTAAAAGTGACGCTACCCAAATTTGAACTTGATCTGAGTTTTGTGGTAATAAGCATTGTGTGTAAGTCTCATAACATTTGGTTGAGGCTAACTTTAATATAGAACAGAAACTAAAAATTCAGCAATTTTTCTATTTGTAAACACGCATAACTCTAGAACGGTTGTGTATAAGTTTTATAACATTTGATTGAGACAAACTAAAGTTAGAGAACGGAAAGGAAAAATTCAGCAATTTTTATGTTTATAAAGGGACATAACTCAAGAATGGAAAAAGTGTCGCCACCAAATTTCGTACTTAATCTGTATTATGTAGTAATAAGCATTTGTGTATAAGTTTCATAACATTTGGTTGAGGCAAACTAAAGTTAGAAAACGGAAACAAAAAATTTGTACTTGATCTTAGTTTTGTGGTAATGAATATTGTGTATAGGTTTCATAATGTTTGGTTGGGGCAAACTTAAGTTACAGAATGGAAACTAAAAATTTTGCAATCTTTCGATTTATAAAGGGGCATACCTCAATAATGGTTAAAGTGACACTACCCAAATTCAACTTGATCTGTGTTTTATCAGTGGAAGTCAAAATTAAACATTGCATTGTATATAGCATTGATTGTAGTTGATTCAACTATAATCATGGACAAAGGAAGATAACTCCAATTTAAAAAATTACTTGATATTTAGAAGAAAATAAAAATTTTGCAATTTTTCCATTTATAAAGGAGCATAACTCTAGAATGGTTAAAGTGACGCCACCAGAATTCCAACTTGATCTGTGTTTTGTGGTAGTCAGCATTTTGTATAAGTTTCATAACATTTGGTTGAGGCAAACTTAAGTTGGAGAATGGAAACTAAAAATTTTGCAATATTTCCATTTATAAAGGGCACAACTCTAGAACGGTTGAAGTGATGCTACCAAAATTCAAACTTGATCTGTGTTTTGTGGTAATAAGCATTGTGTATAAGTTTCATAACATTTGGTTGAGGCAAACTTAAGTTAAAGAACGGAAACCAATTTTGGGACGTACGTACAGACGGACAAGGGTAAAACTTAATGCCCCCACCGCTACGGCGGGGGCATAAAAAGTATTATTACAGACATTCACATGATGTTATTTTTCTGTTTGTTAAGTAAGGGTAGCAACTAAGAAAAAATTACATGTAATGGTAAAACACTAGTTTCTTGAACACTGAATCTTTGATTTGAATCTCAAAGACTATGACAATGATTCTAGTATTACAATTTAACATGATTTAATGTACTTACCGAAAGAATTGTCATCATTGGTAACCAAAGTTTTGCTCAATGAATGATAATGACCAAATGAGCAAGTATACAGGTGGTCTGTGTCACTTTTAGTCAGATTATATATCAGTAAGGCAAAACCATTTTTCTGCCCCTGAATGCCATATTTTGAAATATTTGAAGTCGAAGTATTGCCTAAAGCCAAAACTGTATTATTAGGTCCACCAGTGAATTTCCATGTTTTTCCAAGTAAATTCTTGTCATTGGTACAACATGAAAGCCTAGCTGTCTTTCCAAACTGAAGTGGCTGAGATGCTTTCCACTTAACTACAAATACAAAATATTTAATACACTTATGTCCAACATTGTTTTGTTGATCGAAAGGTTTTAGTATAGATATTCAATGAAAACAGATGTTTCAATAATACATAAAAAATAACAGGAACGACTAACAACTTTTATTTGGACAATACAACATCAAACAGAAACAAGACTTAGTCCAGATAGTTACCGTGAGGCACACACTAGGGAGTCTAACTAACACACTTTACTTGAAGTGTATTAACATGATTAACCCTTGTTTATTCAATGGAGAAGTTATATTGTATGATTTGTCTTTTGTAATCATATTTCAAAAATTGAATAAGATATTCCAACCAATTGCAAATCATTAATACATGCTGTTCCCCATAGACAATAACAATTATAGCAACAAGATTCTAATGACAACTTGTTTATGGTTCCCATTCATTAAGTTACACGACACAGCCGGATGCACTCTTGATTATTGAAGCATTATTTTAGAGTTTTGTGTATAAAACCTTTTAATGTGAGGCAATATATAAATTAAAATCATCATAATTGAATTATGAGTCTCATGAATCATACTTTTTGATAAAATATTCAAGAAAATAACTTTTCATTATCTTAATATTTTAGGCTGTTTTCCAGTACACACTTGTTTAAAATTATTTGTAACAATTACAAATTTAAAATGTCCTCTTTGAACAGAATGTGGTTTTTTGAAAATGTATAAGAAATGAAGGCAATAGATCATCACTAGGTTTATTTATTTTTATTTTTAAACAGTATTGGATTTCTTATTTTAAGGGAAATTGCAAACAAAACAAATATAATTATGTTATTAACATTTTAAATTTGAAAGTTAAATTTAAAGGATAATAATTCACTGCTAATCATATTTCTAGTAATTTTTCATATTCAAACAATATACATGATATATATTATACTTGTCAATTTTTTTTCCAAATCAATAAAATTAGTGATTCTTTTTAAAGCAAGCACACAAACATGTACAAACATGGTATTGATTAATTAGGTGGAGCAGAGCTAAAAATTCTTATCTTGGATTGTGTTTACAAAAATTAAATGCAGAAGGAACTTTATTGTTAATAAAACTTGGTTTCACTACCTGAAACCAAAAGGATATATAATATGTATAGTGTTTGGTTATTTTTTCAAACTAATCAAATACACAACTGTTCAACATGCTTACATGTGAGCTGTGTCGTATAGAAATCCACCTTATGCAAATGAATATCAATACATCTGTTAACCTATTTCGGATTGAAAAAAAATCTATACGGAAAGTCTGCGACTGTTTGAAAATTGAGTTGTGATAAGAACCCTAGAAAACGGACCAAAATTCATCTTTTATTTCGTATCTGAATGTTCCAAAATTAATCAATGTCTTATACATGTACAAGTATACGTACACTTGCATAAGGTTGATTTCTATACAACGCAGCTCATGTTATAAAATGTTATAAAAGCAAAAGGCAAAAAAAAAAAACTAAGGACAAGACATGCATACGCATACAATTACAATTATACATTTGTAGTATTAGATTTTGTGTAATACAATACATCAAAGGTGTAACACACAAAAACATGCAAAGGCAGCAGTACACGTAGACTAAAAATGTGTGTCACAGAGCCGTTTTTCAAGCTACAGGTTGTGCTAAATTTGTCAGATTTTGTACAGATTAAACATAAAAAATAACTTTTGTGTGATAAAAAAGAAAACTAAACTATTAAATTTGAAAATCAATATCTGATTAGATATATGAGGGCTCTTAATTGATGTTAAATAAGACTTGGCTTACAAGAGTACACCAATAAAATTAAAATACTTGCAGAGGGTACAGAAATAGTCATGTTTAAGAATAACTTCAACTTCTAGTGTCTAAAATAAATATTCATTTTTGCTTTGCTAAAAACAAATTGCAACCTATGCACCCTCCTCAAAGCTAGCAAACATTAAGGTTACGCCTCAGATTTATCACATATTCATATCATGGTGATGGTGCCTACACCATGCAAGGGGCCATCACCAATTGACAGATTTACATAAACATACATATTTTGCTATAAAGTTAAAGAAAAAAAAAATAACTAGAAAACAGCTAGTACAAACATGAAATTAATAAAGCTCACCTGACATTCAACTGTTTGCTCTAAACATCAAACAATACATTTGAATCAAAAATGTTTTCCATGAAATTTATATAGTCATTCAGAAGGTAAGATGATATCAATAATATGTTTTCCCCTTTTGGTATTGGATTGTGAGCAAAGTGCAGATGGTCCTTGTATACTCAAGTAAAACAATTGTAGCAAAATAAAAAGTTCCTATCAACAAACCCTTTTAACCCTGCCACAGAAAGCGATCTCAAAATAGGGATCTTCCAATCATAATATGTTACTGTATGTTAAATTTTGGTTTCAATCCAATGTAAGGTTCTAGAGGAACAATCTGGAAACTCTAATTCTGAACTAAGCATTGTTTGTATTACCCAGTAAGCAACTATGACCTTGACCTTGAACCTTTTTCTTATTATATGTTTACCCTATAACCAATTAAAATTCAAGTCTGATGAAAGGAGAGAGCGTTTGGTAAATAATCTGGAAAACATGATAACAGATGGACTGAAGAACTTTCATAACATGTTTATCCCCCTTACTTCATAGCACAGGGTATAAAACTGGAACACCTTCATCTTTCTTTCAATCATAAATAGAAAGCTATTCCTATGAGTTTGTCTGATATTTCATGTACTAAATGTGTCTTACCTTGAGGGTTTTGAGCTTTAAATTTGTATAAGAAAGTAGAAAATATGTAAACAAAATCTTTATCTTATTTGACCTCAAAACTTGGATATAATATATACACAAACATGCATTAAATGCATCTTGGATTAAGCTTATTCATGCATTTCCTCAAAAAATGAGGAAAACCAAAACTAAAATAGAAATTAAGCACACTTAAAAAAAAACCAAAAAAACAAGCAATCTACAAGTTATGCAAAAAAAAAAACACAGCATAATACATAAAACAAGAGTCTCCAAGGAGACTTTATCACTCAACTGTTAGTTTTGCCAAAAACAAATTGGTCCATTAATTTCAGAGAAGATGTTTGTTTAAATGTTTAAAAGGTTTACAACAATGGATGATGGACGACAACTATGGATGCCAAGTGATGGCAATATCTCACAATGCCCTTTGGGCCAGGTGAGAAAAATGAAGAAAAAAAATAGTAAGGTCTGTGTCCTTTCTTCGGTTTGTCAATTTACATGATTTATACATCATACAAAGTTCATTTAAAATTGACATGGTAGATTTTGTCAAAAAGATGAAGAAAATATGACTTTCCACACTGTTTAAATGATAACTCACTTCAAGTCATTACCCTTCTATTAATAACATATAACAATCCATTGTTAAAGGTCTTACAATGATAAACCCTCCAAATTTAGATGTTCATAATATTACACACTTTCAACTTTATTATAAGTTCAATCAATTTTATTTAGAGATATGATAATACTTCAAAACTAAAAATACAAGTTATTACATACCATTATCAGATCTTTTTATTCTTCTGATTGCAGCACCAGAGTTTACGCAACATGCGGCAAAAATTGAACAAACAAATATCAGCGAATATGGTAATGAAATGCCTGAAAAATACCCAAAATTAGCAATTCAGAGAGACAATCAAGACAAAGGTGCACAAGCTGAAATGTCTCACCTGCTTTACATATCATGTTTGAATTAAGCTGAAATTGTGTATAAATATGAAGGTTTTACTATAAGTTTCAAATAAAATTAACATTATCAATGATCAATGTAAATGAGGTCATGATCAGGGTCAAGGTCAGATAAACCTAGCCAGACATGTTCACTTTGGCTTACAATCTTACCATACACCAAATATATAGTTAACCTATTGCTTATGGTATCCAAGAAACCTAATTACAAAACTGAACATTGACCAATAAACCATGAAAATTAGGTCTAGGTCAACTGGACCGTGCCAGACAGACATGTATACCATGCAATAATTCCAAACAGTAAATATAGTTGACCTTTTGCTTAAAGTATCTGAAAAAAAAACATGACCATGAAAACTTTACATTTACTAATCATTTTTTTTTGGCTAATGAACCATGAAAATGAAGTCAAGGTCAGATGAATCCTGTCAGTTAGACATATACATGTTATATGTTCTATAGACCAAATAAAGTTGACCTATTGCCTATGGTATCTAACAAATAAGCCAAATCAGAAAAAAATAACATACACCAATGAACCATGAAAATGAGCTCAAGGTCAGATGAAACCGGCCAATGAGACATGTAGATGTTGCAATCATTCCCTACACCAAATATAATTGACCTATTGCTTATAGTATCTGAGATACAGACAGGATCATGTACACTAAACCTTGATCACTGGTCATGATCAGGTGAATCCTGTCTGATAGACATGTAGACCCTGCAATGAAACCATGTACAAAATATTGTTACCCTATTACTCATAATAAGTGAGAAGTTAACATGACAAAATAAACTTAAATGATGTCAATGACAATGGACATATGACAGACTGAAACTTTGTACAATAAGGCATCTGCATACAAGGTTTGAATCATCCAGGTCTTCTTCCTTCTGAAATATAAAGCTTCTAAAAAATAGTTTAAGCCACCGCCGTGCCAGATTGTAATCCCTATGTTTCGCATTCTGTAACTTTCATCACAGGCGATACAAAAACCTTATTTCATTCTTATGTTGCACATAGCCTATGTTCTAATTCATCTGTATGCTTTCTCTCTTGACGACTTGGTTTAGTAAAGTATGTGGGGGTGTACAAACCAACAAGATGATAATATGGATTGGTGTTCAAGGTCCAGTGGCAAATATTACCTACATTTGTTTAAATAAATACAATCTAATGCTTTTTTTAAACAAAAAACAAATAGTTTACATCACATCTGCCGCCGCCAAGTATCCGTATGTCTCGAATACTGTGATTTTCGTCGCAGGCAGACAATAAAATGGAGGGTTGTGTTGTAAACTGTTTCTCACCATGTGTCAAATGGTCAACTTATCAGAAAATTTACTACATTTGTTTAAATAAATACAATCTAATGCTTTTTTAAACAAGTACATAAAAAATTTAAAACAAAAATAGCAATGTTTTATTCAAGATTTAAATCTGCAATTTACAGAAATCTACAAAAACATTTATGGACTCAAACGGAACTTTCTCTTTATACAATCCTTTTGTTGATGTATTCACAAATTTTTTCTATTTTTCTATTAACAAATCAGCACAAAACGAAATATTTCCTTTTAAACTCATAACCAATGAGATGGGTCATGCATGCCCCACAGTGATTCTATAAACAGAACCTTCTGTTCATCTTTTAGTTGTTATATTCATTAAAGAATGATCCTCAAGTAATATCTATAACAATCACATTGTTAATTGTATTGCTCCTAACAACACCCTTTAGTAAAAATACATTTAACAGCTCTGAGTTTCTGATTGTAAAATAGTTAGTCACTGTTAGCAAGACATGCTAAATTTTACTGGATATAGTCTACTTTTCACTGCATATTTCAATCACAAAAAAAAGGACTTTAGTACAGGCATTACCTTTTTTGCATTTAGAAGCCTCACATACTTTTCTATAGGTCACTTTATCTTTCTTTTCGCTATTATGAACTGTAAAAATAAATACAAGTTTGAACACACTTAGATCTCCTGTCTCCTGAAAAACTTTAATGATTCTAAATGGTTATGCATTTTGAAACAGAGGTCAAGGTCAAATGAAACCTGTCTGATGCATATAATCATCTGAGTGTATATTTTGCATATCCATTAGTTTGCTTATTGTGTAGTTTGAAGCAGTACTGAAATGATTCTTTTTTTTTTCTGTAAATTTTGTTCAAGAATGGCCCAATGTCATGTCTTCCTGTACTGTTTATATTGTTGCTGTATTTCGTATTCCTTGTAGTACTATTAAAAAAGCAACAAATATCAGAGAGTAGGGCAGAATGATTTCTTATCGGCAGAGTAAACATTTCTTAATATTGTGTTTTTTTGTTATTAATTACAGTTACTTTTGAGGTGAAGTACTTTTGCTGTAATTGTTATTGAATGTTCTTTTTTTTTAACATTTTGTTTGTCCACTGATCCAAATTGAGAAGGGGAAGGATGACTGCCAATGATACAACTATCCACCAAAGACCAAAAGTTGAGGATGTCAGCAGTGGTTTTCTTATGTCATAGCTTCATGTTTGTGTTATTATCATGAGTATAAGGAAAACTATGTGCTGATGGCAGATTGTTGAGTTGCTGTTTAATTTACTCACAATTCCATGAACACAACAATTAAAAGCTTAACATTGTATAGTCGCCCATCTATTGTAGAAAACTTTAAATGTCATACATGTTAACATGTAGATGTCTTTATAGAATCTTGTTGCTGGGTTGCTATCTCACTGACATTGACATGCACACATTATTTCCTTTTTTCAGGAAGTGATTGCACACCAGAATTGAAAATCTTGTAAACAATAAAATTCAACACTACTATAAAATTCCAGACCAAATATCAAATCATTCTTTAATACAGATGTCCAGTGACTCTATTTATATAATATATGTCATGTAATTATTACTGTTTATGTTCTATACCTTTGTTCTTTTTAAAAAACAATTTTAGAATCAGATTTGGAATATGATTATTCGAAACAGAAAGACATGTATCTGATTGGCTATTAACATGATAAAGCAGTTTTTCAAAGTGTTTAGTATGGCAAACATTTACATACAGAAAACCAATAGACACTAAGTCATTGCAATGGCCTAACTGCCCCTCTAACATGTCTTAAGTACTAAATTTGAATGTTGTAAACTTTACTCATAACATATTTCTATACCTTTATTGCTATCTCCAATTCGATCAAACTTTTCTTGCACTGTACTGTCATTTGAATTTAAAGGCATACACATCTTCTTGTTAAATGTTTCAGGTGGATGTATTTTGGTTCCATATCTAGCAGCTACTAAGAAATATCAAATTAACTAGAATGTTGGTGAAGAATATTTCACACTAAGAAGTAGATGTAAAGTAGATTTTTGTACATATGCAATATTCAAGTAGTACTGTAACAATAGTTTTCTTTAAAACTCTCTTCATGAAAAACCAATGGAATATTTGCCAGTGGACATATGCATAATAAGAAAACAATAACAATCATTGACAACAATGTCTGTCTCATAAACAGTGTACATATAAAAATAAGAAGATGTGGTATGATTGCTGATGAGACAACTGTCCACCATAATCAGTTTACATGTTTAACTGAACCGCAATTTTAAATTATTAAAAACAAACATGTTTAAATATTTCAATATACACAGTAAAAAAAAAAAAGTCTAAAAGGATGATATCGATGGTGGATGGCAATTAAATGTTGTCCAGTGGCAAATTAAATCCATATTTTAATAGGAAAAAAACATGTTTTGTGATATGAATATGTAGCCTGGTTTCAAATTTGTACAAGTCCAAAACACTGTCAGTTTGTTTGTTGTTTAACTCAACTGTCAATACACTTTGCCAGTTTTTATCATGGTGACAGTTTTTACTGGTGGAGGAAACCACCACTTTTAGATCTGGGTTGAAAACTGTAAGAAGACTGTCGACTACAAATAACTTGTACCCTTTTTCATATATTTTGCTGACAAATGACTAATTGTTTCAATTTAGTAAAAAAAAATGATATATAAACTGGTTTTGGATTTAATGCCTACACTGTGCATGTGTACCTGTTTCATTGACTTCAATAATTTCTGCATATGCTGAGCAGACGAGGGCCCTTCACAGGTTTGTGTTTGAAGATTATACATAACATGTTATAATATTCTGTTTTGAGCGTTCCTCATGTAGGTAAATCCAGAAATGTATTTTGAATGCATATCATGAGGCTACATTGGGAAATTAATCTTAAAAATCAAGGGTGACTTAGATTTCGCTTTGATTCTTCTTTAGAGCAAAATAGGAACTCTAGGGTGATAAACTTACTCTCTCTGTCTGGTGGGGTCTGCCCTGTAGACTGAACACTAGCATGACAATCTAAGTACGTTAACTCATCCATATCTTCAACTGCTGTTGGAGATGCTTTACCTGTAAAAAAAACCAACGAATAATTAAGTTTTTACACATCAAAGACTATAGCAATGTATAGGTTGACAACATGGTGTTGTTGTTATTTTGGTCTTAGAACGTGCTTCATGTGGTTTACAGAAAGTAGTTTCATATTGTTAACATGAAATGATATCACAATGAATGGTTTACATGCTATCGCAAAGTTGTGAAGAAAGTGAAAGTAAAAGATAAATTGTCAGTAACATTTCTCAAATGGACAACACTTCAATGGTCATGCATTCTGTATCATTTCTACCCAGCTTCGATCTGAAGGAGGAACTGCTTAAAGTTAAAGAGCTAAACAATTTTTATACAAATGCACAGGGATAGCTTAGTCTCAGATTTGAACTACATTTTTGACCATTAATTTGAATGTATGGCTTTCTTTCTTGCATCCAACACACCTTTTAATAGTGGTGAATAATCATGAGACTGGTGGACACGAAGACAGATAAGATGATAAGTATAGTTATCCCTGGCTTAGTATATTTCTAGGATTTTGATTGGTTAACACACGTTACAAAACCCATAGCCCCTGGGTGTTGCTAACCCATATACCCGGACGTTGCTACCCATTACAACGGGGAACATCACGCGCATTTTCCTTAGTTCCATGGTTGTTCCTTGTGATATATCGAATTCTGTAGATTATCCATGATGTAAATAAATATTTAATCAACTAACGATTTTATCTTATTATGTCGATCATTTGCACTCATTTTAGTAAATGCATCACTTGGCTGCCACATTGTCAATGAATGGGACTACTGACCTAGCTATGCAAATGACCCACGTTGACTTCACACCGTCTATGATGTAACTCTCACAACATTATGCGCCAAATTCAACCCATTCCCGTTTCGCTGTCTCTGGATTAAAAACGTCTCATATTTGACTACCTGTAGGGTTCTACCAAAGGTATTACCCTACACCCCGTTAAAAATATGTCAAATTCCCAAATTTCAATAAAAGATTTAAAAAAAAAGAAAAAAACGTTGCTTTCACGTTACATTTTGTGGTTGAATTTCTCTAAAATTCACAAGATTTGGACTAAGACCGGGGATAAATTCGTTTCGCCGAAGGGTGTACTTGGATACTTCAGGGTGTTAAAATATCCATATCTATGGCTATGAACGTAGATAACTTATAGTCCACCATCGTTTAATCAGTGAGAACTTTATAAAGTATATAGGTCTACCATCGATTAATCAGCGGGAACTTCATAATTTCTCCAGCAATGTGAAGGAGGGGCAAGTCAAAATAAAGATCAATGAGCTATAACACCTAGCCAGATGGATACAATATCTAATTTCCATATACACGTAGCAATATCATTAACTGTCATATCATGTTTGAGATATCAAACTGTTCACTACTGAAAATCTGCAAACAACCTTTTAGAGAAAGAACAGCCAGTCTGACTCTGTCCTGTGACATTATGTGAACAACTATTTTTATTTGTCCATTAAATAATTCTAAAACTATTCTAAACAGAAATGAATTATTTAACATACCTAATCTTATGGGAGATTCCTGTTTGGTGTGATTTTTGTAATCACTTGCTGTCCATGCATCTGTGTTACTTGTTTCTGGAAAATGATTTTTAATATGGTTAAAAATAACAAATTTACACTCATTAATCTATATAGATACTTCTTCTATCATCATGATCATATAGCATGTATAGTGAGTGCATGACAACCTTCAATAAATTGAAGACTATGTCACAATGGGATTACCTACAAATGTACAAGACATAGATTAATGATAAACAAATTAAACATTGTTAAAATAGTGGAACAAACTCCCTTACAGAAATGAAAAGTTTGCTGCAATATTGCAACAATATAGCGGCAATATTGCAACAATATAGCGGCAATATTGCAGCAAACAAATTTGTTTGCAAGAAGTGTTTGCAAGAAAGTTGCAGGTTGTTGCAGCTACCTGCAACATTCTCGCAATGTTACTGCAACAAAATTTGTTGGCAAGAAAATTGCAGCAAGTTTGCTGCAATGTTGCAAGAAAGAATTTGTTTGCTAGAAAGTTGCAGGAACCTTTTCTTTTATTATTTAAGGAATGACTTTTTGCAACAACTTTGCAAGAAAAGTTTCTTTAATAATGTCAGACAATCAGATAGTTTGCACCAATATTTCAAGCATTTTAAAATATTACATATGATAATTTGTTTTAAGATTTAAGGTTCAAATAATACACAACATATTGTTTCTTTGAACATTTGGTTATGGATACTTCTAACTATCTAAATTTGTTGTCGTCATACTTTATTTTACTCAGAAATATCTGGATATTTGAATAATTTATTTTAAATAAATCTTCAAATAACAATGCTTATATTTTTAGAATTCCTAAACTGTACATCACATTTATATGATATTTTGTAAGGAAAGAATTTCAAGAATACTTTGGTATTTAGTTCAACAAGTTTAATCTAAATAATTGAGTCATAATAATTTTTGTTCTACATGTATTATTATGCCTTTTTGTCACTTTTTTGTGACATTTTTCTATGAACAATATTTTTAATTCTAATATTTTCCATCAAATGAATTTAGCCTCACCTGCAGGTTGCATTTTGTTTAATTTCTAGTATCATTATTTTAAAACTATGTATACACAAATTATCTTTCTCATCTCAATTAGTAATATGAGCTGGTGATAGAAATGTAATGTGCCATCTGGTTTCAATTTATCTCTGTGTAGTGGTAAAGACAGGAAGTACCATAAATTAATGTACACAGAGTTTGAGGCCAAATTAAGGGTAGAGCATTTCTTCTTTGTATATATTTCCATTATAACTTATAACATCAAAGATAAAAAAAAAATATATATATATAATTATTTTTTTATTATAATATATAACAAATATTCAAGATTTAGGCAATTGATATTTATAATTAGGGGCAAATTTCAAAGGGATCACACTGTCACAATACCCTAAGCAACCTTGATCAACATATTCAAAATTTGAACTGGACATGAACATGCATACAACAAACAAAGATGTCTTCTATCATGAACAAAGTAATATGAATTTTACAATGGATTTAGATCCAAAAGTTCCAATTAATTCTATTGACACTGGATAGTGCATATGATAGCCTTCAGTTGACATGACTCTTGGATTTAGGAAGATTGGTGTTTACACATAATTTGGATAACATCTTTTGGTAAGTACAATGGAGTTGAATGTCCACCATTTTGAATAAGTGCTTGCTCTTACAGTTCAAAATAGTGATATTCAAAGAGTTTTCTTAACTTAATAGAGTTGACAAAAGTATAAGACAATAGATTTATGCACATGAATATTATTAAAATTGTGTAAGACAGGAGATATTTTTTTAAATCTATTTAAGACTATATGTTTTAGAAAGTACATTACTTAAATTGAAACAAGAAATCTTCTAATAAAAGCAGTTTGGTATTAAATTAGAGATCTGTGATTTGACTGCCAATAAGAGGTCTTTCAACAAATGGCAACAATATTTAGCTTTAATATATACACCACTAATCACAAAAATTTTAAAGAATAGACAAGACCAATTATGTTATAGTTCAATGAAAAACAAATATTCAAAAAAGCAATAACAACCTAGTACTGGCATAAGGTTAAATGTATAGTAATATGCAATTTCTAGAAGGACTTGATAACTTTTAGACATTGACCCTTTAAGTGAAACAAATGCTGGAAAAATTGGTCTGTAATCATCTCTTTATAAAGAGTTATTTTCATTTTACAAGTCCAGAATTTACAATATATATCTTTATATCTTTATAATGTTTAGTTATTCTTTTAATGTATGCTAAATTCTTCAACTTTTATTTTGCAGTATTTGAAATCAGAAAATTCAACTTTAAGGACAGTGAGTACAGAGAAACAGAACTAAAGGATACACAGATATGTAACACAACAACCTATAGAGGACAGAGAAAATTTTGTTTTATTATTAAATCATACTTTTTTAAATGCTTAGTTTTTAATTCCTAATTTTTCAACTGAAATTGTTGAAAGATTTGCTGCAATATTGCAAGAAATTAATTTTCCTGCAATATTGCTGCAACATTGCAGCTAATGAATTTGCCGCAATATTGCTGCAACAATCATAGCTACTGATTTTCCCGCAAACATTTGCTGCAATATTGCCGCAAATTGTTGCGGCAATATTGCAGCAACTGTTTGCAAGAAAACTAATTTGCATACGAAAAATGAATATTTGCAGCAATATTGCCGCAAATATTTGCAGCAACATTGCCGCAAATATTTGCAAGAAGCCTTATTTTTCCATAAGGGATGTAAACACAGAGATAAATATCTCCCCTTTTTGTTATTTTGATTTTGAAATTATAACAGCAATACTTTAGCATACATGTAAATTATGCAAAATATTCAGTCATTGAACTATGACTGGAGATACAGGGCTAAATAATCTCCATGGTAATAAAATGTGCTAATGCTTATACAACTACATACTAAATATCATATATTCTTAATAGGGGTAAAACATTGAAAACTTGCCTGTAATATTTGAGAAGAAATTTGAAAACTCAGGATTTTTAATCAAGATTTACTAATCAGTCAGCATGGTCAGAAGTACTACTTTAACAAGTAATTGCTTGTTCAATTCACTACCTAACAATGCCTAAGAGTTAATATTTGTTCTTTTTAAATTACTTTAAAAAATATTTTTTTTTTAATTAAGAAATAATTCCTTTATGCCATGCTTTATGCTCATTTTATCATGGGTAAGCATAATATTTGTCAATATCTTTATACCAGGTGTAAGCGAGGTGTAAAATGTTGACAAATATAATGCCTACCAACATGACCAATGTTAAAATTAGCATTGGACATAGCATGAAAGAAGTATTTTGATTCAAATAGGAAAATTTAGAACTTTTGTACTTCGAAGCAGACCTATAATACACGTTCAAAAGGCTGATGAAGCCAAAACGTTAAAATAGGAAAATTTAGAACTTTTGTTCTTCGAAGCAGACCTATAATACGCGTTCAAAAGGCTGATGAAGCCAAAACGTTAAAATAGGAAAATTTAGAACTTTTGTTCTTCGAGGCAGACCTATAATATGCGTTCAAAAGGCTGATGAAGTCAAAACGTTGAAATAGGAAAATTAAGAACTTTTGTACTTTGAAGCAGACCTATAATACGCGTTCAAAAGGCTGATGAAGCCAAATCGTTATAGAAAATCAACCTTTTCATGTTAAACAAATAAACAGATACATGTAAACTTACTTTTAGAATGATTTTATTTAATTTCCTAAAGCAACACTAAAACAAATGCCATTTTTGATTTACGGCGTTGTTCAAAACACAGCTGACGTTGCAATTTCAATTGTTATGTCAATCACGTGCAGCCCATGTTTTATTGGAATTAGAACATGGCTTTGTTTCCAAAGTGAAAGAAGAACTCATATTAGAAATGTGTAAAGTTTTGATTACATATTTAATTTTTAATGCCATCATGGCCATAATAACTTTTAAAAATAGGTTAGTATGGCAGCTGTTTTTCTATGGTCAGAAGGATATGAGGAATGTTTAAACACTGAGCACTTTCAATACATTACAACTGCTGATCTTGTGCATCGTTGTTGGCTGTCTAAAACCAAACATGACTATGGTCAGAAGGTGGATTACTAATATAAAAGGAAAAGATCTACAAATGAATCAGACATCTCCACAAAGACAAAAGAAAACTTTTAAGGTGAACATTCAATTTACAATTTTTTCCTTCTTTTACATATGTATGCTAATAATAATGTAATATGGTGTTATACATCATTAGTTTGTGTTGTATCGATCGTTATACCACTGTCCCAGGTTAGGGGAGGGTTGGCACATTCAAACATGTTTAACCCCTCTACATTCTGTATGTGCCTATCCCAAGTCAGGAGCCTGTAATTCAGTGGTTGTCGTTTGTTTTTGAATATCATATTTGTTTTTCGTTCATTGTTTTGTATATAAATCAGGCCGTTAGTTTTCTCCTTTGAATTGTTTTAAATTTTTCATTTCAGGGCCTTATATAGCTGACAATGTGGTATGGGTTTTGCTCATTGTTGAAGGCCATACGTTGACCTATAGTTGTAAAATTCTATTCCATTTGGTCTCGGGTGGAGACTTGTGTCATTGGCACTCATGCCACATCTTGTTATTTTTATATCAATACATATATGTTTCTCTGTGTGTATAAGTGTTCCATTCCCTTTTGAAGAATAGAGTGTTGATATGGGGTCATATCTTTATAAAAACAAGAATGTGTCCACGGTAGTACACGGATGCCCCACTCACACTATCATTTTCTATGTTTAGTGGACCGTGAAATTGGGGTCAAAACTCTAATTTGGCATTAAAATTAGAAAGATCACATCATAGGGAACATGTGTACTTAGTTTCAAGTTGATTAGACTTCAACTTCATCAAAAACTACCTTGACCAAAAACTTTATCCTGAAGCGGAACAGACGGACGGACGAACGAACGAATGGACGAACGAACAAAGGAACGAACTTACAGACTGAAAAACATAATGATTTCTACTATCGTAGGTGGGGCATAAAAATCTTACCAATACATTCTAAAGAGAGGTCATCTTCTTCCATGACTTCAACCATGTCAACTGCTGTGAGTTTTCTAAAAAACAAAGACATTCTTATCACCATCATAATACTGATGAATGCAGTAAAGTGCAAAGCCTCATATGCCCAATGTTAGGCTGGCTGTAACCCTTTTTTTTATGGTATTTTCCTCTATAAGATGTTGCCCCCTGCACATGTACATCTTCCTCTATAAGATGTTGCCCCCTGCACATGTACATCTTCCTCTCAGAAATATTCCTCCATACAATATATTAGAATTAAGTTTTTATGAGAAATCTTTGATTGTTTTTGTTAATACAACTTTTATATACATTGTACACGGGAAGATTTACAGCTCTAAATATTGTATAATCACATCTATGTTGAAGAATGCGTATAAAGCCTCTAGATGTCTTTTTTTTTTTCATTATTTCTATCATTTGGTTGTTGTCATTGATGTATAACCCATATCTCCTTATAAATATCAAATTTCACAAAACATATATATACATTTTTGTTTTTAGTGAAAACATTGAAAAGGAACACCAATAAACATGATAAAACTTGACACTTTATAACAATGGAAAAAATGCGCTCCGCCTGGAGCAGCTGGATACAACCGCAAAGGTCGAACTCTGAACAGTTGGGGCAAGTATGGACACAATATTCAAGCTTGATACAGCTCTGAATTTGGATAGTGATTAAATATTTGACACATTAAATAATTGTGGATTTATTCATTTATACAGTAAACTGTAAATATATATATCTGTTTAATAAAATTGAGAATGTAAAGGGTTTAAATGCCCATTTGATTAGGTGTGTGAACTTTTTCTTAATGAGACTATGAGGCAAAGTGGTAAATAGGGTAGAAAAATCAAAACTTTGAACAGATTCGAAATCACCAAAATAAGCATTCAATTTATCAAGTACTTCCAACAAATTTTTGACACTCCAAAAGTGATTAATTCCACTATTTTCAAAGGCCTTATTTGAACAATTTATTACCAGGTTTTTGATTGTACCAAGTGTACTAGTAATTATAAGTAGAATAGACAGTTAAGTAGTGGAACAATGGCTTGAAGACGAAATAAATCTATATTTGAAAGATGTTTTGTGCAGCTTCGGAAGCCAGTACATAGTTGGAACTTTCATTGTATTTGATTCTGCTTGTAAAGATGCAGCTAAAAGTTTATGTTTGTTACGGTTGTCATTTTCCGAAAAATGGAGCCAATTGGAATGTCGGTGAATTCATGATTTCCTTTTGTAGAACCTCAATGTACAATTTACGTCAAACAATGATATTCTTAGCAGCCTTATCAGCTGGGACAAAAAAATTCCTTGGTGAGTTCTTTTAGCTTATGTTTGATATGAGAAATAGGGCTATAATGGTTGTTGTTAGGGTTAAAATGTTCTTTAAAATGTTTAATAGGAATATCAGCTATGTTCATTACTGAATTAAAAAAAGAATCTAAGGATTTTTTGTCAGTTTTTTCTCGTTTTATCCATTTCGAGCAGTAAGTACGGAGTGAGTCATGGATGATCTTACAACACTAATTCCAATTAATAATTGACGGAGGACGATATTTAGGTCCTTTACTAAGGAATGATTTTAACTCTCAGTCATGAACGATGTTAAGGTCTCCTGTCATAACATGGGAACTGGGGCCATAAATGTATTCTGAATTACTGCAATTTCATGACGTAAATGTATTGTCACTGATATCAACATCTTTACACACTTCGCTATAATTAAACACATATTTCTGGGTAGATTTTTTGTAAAAATAACTAATTAGAGGTAATAAAAAATTTTTTATGATCTTCAGGGCTATCAATTTTGGGAAATAGTTTAGAATAACAACAAGCAATTATAATTTGGACGATTTCATACTTAGGACTGCAATACGAAATTGTGTTGCAATCCTCTAAAATTTGATGTAATTTATTAACAGGTAAAGAACAGAGCTTGGTTAACAGATAATGTCTGTCCTTGTTTTTTTTGAAATAGTAATTAGGTCCGAAATTTTTGTATTGTTGGCACGAAATTTTCTCTGATTGCGATTTATTCTACGCCCCTGAGAATGGTTTTTACGAACAGTTTTAGAAACTATATCCAAAATGTTAACAGAATCGGTTCTTGATATATTACCAATTCCCATGATATTATCTTTAAGACCGAGAGGATAGGCTGTCTGTAATTTTTTAATCCAATTTAATTCAATTATTTTCCGTGATCGTACAAACTTACTTTGTAATGAGATTCCCCAGGCTGCTTATATATTACTTCTATTAGGTTGAACTGTCAAATATATAATAGGATGATTGTGCTTCTTAAGGTGTTGATAAATGCTTAGTAACTTTTAAATTTATGGGGTCTTCTAAAACGATAAAGATGTTCTTGTGTGCATTTAGGTGTAATACCACCAAATCATAGTACGTCACATCCAGTTGCATACAAAAATAGGTTGAAAAAAAATATTCCCTTGAATTTGACAGTTGTAGGTAATTGATCCTACATTTCATTGCAGTAAAACATAACTGGGTCATAAACATATATCTTGGGTATTTCAAAGCACCATTATTCTTTTATTTGGGGTTTCTATAGAATATTTTGGAAACTTGAGGTTACATGGTTACTAAAGCTTGTATACATGTTAAAAAAGGGGGAAAATTTGATTGGTTAACTTCCAGTGATGGTTATTTTCTTATATGCAATGAAATGTTATGTGAAATTTTTTTCTATAGTACTGCGGACATGATAAAACTTGGTATCCGGTCGTTCCGTCCCCAAACCGATCCGGCCCCAAGTCGATCCGGCCCAAAGTCGATCCGTCCCAAGTCGATCCGGCCCACGTCGATCCGGCCCAAAGTCGATCCGGCCCCATAATAAAATATGAATAAACTATATTGACTTTGGAGGATTTTTAACATTATAAATTGATTTTGCAAAAAGTATCGATGATGGATGACAACAGGTAAGTGAAGTATTGGTGTACCAGTCAAAGAATTATTTTAAATCGATACGAAACTGAGTGTGATTGTGTCTGTTTGTATAGCAGCTTCAACATATTAATATGAAGTTATTTTCCATGATAACTTTGAATGTCATGGCGATTTTTATTTTATTTAATTCACACACAGAATAGCTAAATAAATATTTACAGTCCAATGGAACCTATAAAATTTAACTCATCATATAATGACTTGTTTAATTAAATCATTAATCTATAATTGGTTTGTTTATTCAACAATTGTCTGATGATTGTGAACTGAGGTAATGCCACTCGTAATCACTTAATTCAATCAAATCCTGGTTACGTAATCAGCAAGGTCTTTATAGTTTGATCTTTTTTTTGGTGTTATGTGTTATAATAATTAATTGTATTTTTTTTTTTCAGGTAACATCAGAGGCACATGTTGTTTTTTTGTAATATCGAATATAGTTAATATATTTTTTTAAAGTTGACAATATTTTGAATAGTTCTGTGTAGATAAAAAAAACCAAGTTATATGAGTATCCATTATTCTTTATTGCAAGATAATAACAAAATAATTACACTGAATGCACATGTTCACTCTCTAAAAATATAATATCAGCACTACTATAATATAACAATAAATTCATACACACTAACAAACACACTATCTCTGACACTCACATAAATATATATAACTTTTAAATCATTTACACTAACAGTTACACTGTCGCTTACATAATATAAAAGAGGTCACACTTGCAGCACTACAATAACATATACAGTTACTATCATACGCAGTACAGCACTATAATGGTTCTATTTGATTAGCTCACCAAGAACAAACTATATTATTCTAAACATAAAGAATACTCATTAAGCATTTAATAAATAAATGTTATATAAACATACAGATTGTAGCCACATATGAACTAACATTTTACAAGCTATACAGTTCACTCAGTGTTAATTAAATCAGTCGCTGTCAGTGTTGTCTTCTGGTTCTGGGTCTGGCACAGGAATGTCATACATGTGTCCGACGGCACGAAGGAAGAAGGAGGTGGTGATGGTACCGTCTTGAAGTTGCTGCCATAGTGAAGAGAGGCGTCCCTGTGACTGTTGATACTTGGTGCGCTGCCAACGGGCAAGACTCTGTTCATCTACCAGACGCACTTGTCTAGAAACAGTCTTGGCTTCTTTAATGAGCGCTGGAACCATCTTGTAGAAGTGGAGCTTGTTTCCATTTGCTTTCCCGTTGAACCTACGATGCCAACCTGTTAAAAATTAAAAGCAAATGTTGAGAACATATTACAGAAAAGAATCAATATAGCAGATGACAATATTTAATAACAGTTTCATATCATTTATTTTATTGTAGTATTTATCAGACTGTAAGAAGTTCAATAATTGCTTACTTCCATGCTCTTCATTTAATTCGGTTGAATATTTGTCTCATCGGCAAAAATACCAACTCTACTTTTTTGTAAATAATATATAAAAAAATAAATACCTTCCACATCATTGTTGGTACGGATGGACAGCTGGTACACTGACCATTGGGCCACACTCCAAACGGAACACTGTAACCACGCTCTGTTGATGTAGACCATGAGTTGGTGAAGAAGAGGTGATGTAGGTGGTACTGTAAGTTGTCTATAAGCTGGGAGGATGTGTCCTGCTGGCAGGTACGGTAAAGCTAACACCTTCTTGATGAACACGTTGACGGCTTTGTCTGAAGAGTATGCTGTCTTTAATCCCAAGTTGGCAACTTTGCGCATCACAGCCTGACCCCAGTGGAAGGCACATCCCTTAATGTCGGCGGTTGGAAAGACGGACTTTACTGCTGACCAGGCTCCTGCAAGATAATCAAATAATATAAGTTTTTTTTCAATTATATGTAATACATTATATATATATATTAAATAAAAATCAATCACATACAGTTCAAAAATCGAAGATGTCAGATAATACTTAGAAACAAATCTACATAATCATGAAGCGAATACTTTGTTGTGAATATTCATACTAATACTATGTATTGTGACTTGGATGGAGAGTTGTCTCATTGGCACTCATACCACAGAAAATACTAATTACTGCTGATTAATGTTGATGTCTGTTGATTGTACTAAATTCTGTTATATACGTTTTTATTATAATTATACCCAATAATCTTGAAAACTTGTAATGAAAACATAATCAACCTACTTGTTTTATACTCATCTAAAGAAAATATTTGTCAAAGGCCATTTTTTTTTACCGTACACCTTTTACATTATAATAAAACTCATAAACATTTATGAATTACAATTAATATATATCTTTATTTTTATTCCTTATAAATATATTTTTTTATTGGGGCCGGATCGACTTTAAATATGGGCCGGATCGACGTTGGGCCGGATCGACGTGGGACGGATCGACTTGGGCCGGATCGACGTGGGGCCGGATCGACATGAAACCATAAAACTTTACTCATGCCAAGTATTTCTTTATTTGAAACAAAGATAAATTCTGCACAATTTTTTGAAAAGTGCAAATTTAACAAAGACTAATAGGGGAAAATCAATGATGGTATTACACCTTTAGATAAATAGCGTCCAGTTACACCTACGTACTGAATACCCCATCCCGGTTATGTTTTGTGTAAGTAAATAGATAAAACCAAGAATACTTGTGTTTGTTTTTCAATTTAAATAAGTTTCAAATTTTAAGGAAAATGTGCGACCATTTAACATGGACCTTACCATATTGTTGGTGGAAAGACGGGGACATGCAAGTCATTTTTTGGCATGACACTTATACATTGATAGAAGGGTAACCACGATTTTTATTATCAAAAATGTTTATAACATAAGCCTTCATAGAAACGATATGAACCTATGAAGGCTTTTCTTGTCGCTAAATTATTCTTCTTGTCGCTAATTAGTGAGACCGGGTACTTAACTACTACAACACTCTAGTCTGTACTGCAAAAATGTATTTGCTCCGCCCATACCTAAGATAAATATCGAAAGGTTAATGTCCCATGCACATTAAATTTGAAAAAAATACAAGTCCTATGAAAATTTTGTTAAAAAAAGTGCATATCCCATGCTAATTTGAACCGGTATAATAAATTTTGACCAGTCCTTTACATGATCGTACATTCAATATTGGGTTTCCAAATTTTGAAAAGGAGGACATATTTTATGCAAAACATGCTATTAGAACCCAGTAACCCGATTTACTCATAGCTGCAAAATGTCATAATGTAAAAAACCTTTCGGAAATCTTTCAAGGAACCCAATCGGGAAGAGGCAATCCAATCTCTCTTTTCCAAAAAACGAAAGTAAACTGTAATTTGTTATACGGGACAACTCGGCCCGGAGACAACTAGGACCGAGTCAAATCGGACCTACTTAACATTGTGAACTCGGACCCAGTGGCGGATCCAGGGGGAGGGTGTTCCGGGTGTTGGAACCCCCCCCCCCCCTTTTTTGACAATCAATGTTTTTGAATGGGAACATATGGTTGGAACCCCACCCCTCTCCTTTCATCCTGGGTTGGAACCCCCTTTATAATAGATGGATCCGCCCAGGCTGGGACCGTCTATGAAGTCAACTCGGAAAGTCTATAATGACATCTAAGACAAAGTATTAAAAAGAGGATTGAAACCTATAGATATGCATGGGTTTATACATCTATGATTGAACTATATTAATAATTATTAATTGCTATATTTTACATCTTCTTCTCTAGGTAAATTCCTCCGCAACGGAGCAACCGTGTGTCACACGGTAAAGAAAAAAAAAGCCCTTATTTTCATTTAATATTGTTTAAAAACATGGAACGGACTAGATTAGTATATATATACAATCCTTTAAAAAATATTGTTGTCCTAAAAAAACGTAGTAACAACCTCAGGAAAATGATAAGTAGAAAAAATAAATTATATTATAAAATGAAACAAAACATCAAGTATGCAGACAAGTACAAACATCTGAAAAAACAAGTACAAAAAGAACAGAGGGAAGCATATTGGGGTTATATTGAAAAAATGATATTGGATCTACCCATAAATGAACCGGACCAACCATGTAACAATCAGTCAAAACCTAAAAAACTGTTCTCCTTTATAAAATCACTGCGCACAGATAACACCGGTGTAGCTCCTCTGAAAAAAGAAGGACAGTTAATAGCAGACACAAAGCAAAAGGCAGACATCCTCAACACACAGTTCCAATCAGTGTTTACAACCGAATCAAATAACAGCATTCCAGACAAAGGTCCAAGCTCACACCCCACAATAACACCACTAGAAATATCACTACCAGGTGTCAAGAAACTTCTACTCAACATAAACCCACATAAGGCAACTGGCCCAGATAACATCAGTGGCAGAATATTAAAAGAACTCAAAGATCAAACAGCTCCAATTCTTACACTAATCTTCAAAACATCACTTGAAACTGGCATAACACCAACAGACTGGAAACATGCCAATGTGGCACCAGTATTTAAAAAAGGGGAAAAATACAAGCCAGAAAATTACCGCCCAATATCATTGACATGTATTTCCTGTAAACTTATGGAGCATATCATCACCAAACACATCATCAACCACCTTGAAAAGAACAATATACTGTATGACCTCCAGCATGGCTTCCGTCAGTCACGATCATGTGAAACCCAACTCATTTCATTCATCCAAGAGCTTGCAGCAAATAACAACAACAACACACAAACAGACTTAATTATAATGGACTTTGCCAAAGCATTTGACAAAGTCCCTCATAAAAGACTTCTCTATAAACTGAACTACTATGGTATTCAAAATGAAACACTAAACTGGGTCTCTGCCTTCTTAAATGACAGAACACAAACAGTTGTCCTGGATGGAGAGTCATCTGACCTGGCTCCAGTCACCTCAGGTGTCCCTCAAGGCACAGTTCTGGGCCCAGTATTATTCTTGGTATACATCAACGACCTACCAGAATACTTACAATCCAGTAAGCTCAGACTGTTTGCCGATGACAGTATCATCTACAAAACCATCAAATCTCAAAGTAACTGTGATGAACTCCAGTTAGATTTAGATGCAGCTGCTAGGTGGGAACAAGACTGGTTGATGGCTTTCCATCCAGACAAATGCACAGTCCTCACAGTATCACAAAAGAAAAAACAGTTTAAACATGACTATATCCTTCACAATCACAAACTTGAACTAGTCTCTTCAGCTAAATATCTGGGCATTACACTTCAAGCAAACTTAAAATGGTCAAAACATACAGACAACATCATAGCTAATGGAAACAAATCTTTGGGCTTCTTAAAAAGAAATTTAAAAACATCATGTCAGAACATCAAAACCCAGGCATATCTGGCACTAGTTCGTCCTAAGCTTGAATACTCATGTTCAGTATGGGACCCTCACACAGCTGAACAAACCTCTAAAATTGAGATGGTCCAAAGACGAGCTGCCAGATATGTCTGTAACAGGTACCATAACATCAGTAGTCCTACAGACATGATAAACTCACTAAACTGGCCCACGCTACAAGAAAGAAGACTACGCACAAGATTGATAATGTTCTACAAAATAGTACATCAAATCGTAGCAATCCCATCTGCTATTCTCATACCATCAGACAGTAGAACCCGCAAAAACCATAGTTTCACTTTCAGACACATTTCTACTAAAAAAGATACATATAAATTTTCATTTTTTCCGTACACCATTACTCAGTGGAATTTACTACCAGTCCACACAGTCGCTGTAACCACAGTCAACACTTTCAGAGAACAGCTTACACCAACTGTTCTCCACAAATTCATTTAACTCATTATTAGCCTATGTACATAGTTTTAATCACAATTTAAAATTCTCACGCACTCCAAATTCATTTTCAATTATTTTTGTGTTTTTGTAAATATATATATAGGCCACGCAGCGCAAAACAGTATATAATCTTCAGATATTGAAGGACTACTGAAAACCGAAAGAAGAAGAAGAATGTAAAATCTATTATAAAAATATTTACACCTACTATTTTATGTACATTAAGCATAACTTGAATATTCACCGGTTAGTTAAGAGGGGGGGGGGGGGGCAAGGGGTTTAACTGTTATGCTGTTATGGGGTTATTTAATCCTTTGTTATCTGTTATTCTGAAAATATATTTGCTGTTAGCTGTTATTGTCTTATTCCTTGTTAGCTGTTATAGGACTATTATTTTTATTGTTATCTGTTATTGTGAAATTGTATTTGCTGTTAACTGTTATTGAAAATTGGAATGTTGTCATTTTGAAAGCCAATCTTAAGTAGAAATTGAAGATAATTGAACATTGTGACTGGGATGGAGAGTTGTCTCATTGGTACTCATACCACATCTTCTTATATCTATTGGGTTCTTTTCACTGGTGATATCGGGAGGTCACGTATTTGCAGAAGGATTCCAGTAACATACATCACATTAACATATTAAAATCAGTCGGGTCCAGGACCATTCCAGTATATATTATTATTATTCTTTGTAATACATTCAATTGTCTGTGAACATGTTTTTAGATGTATGGTTTTGTACATATTATAATTTGTACAAAAAATGTGTACAAATTATAGTTTGTATTTTGACTTTGTATACGGCATTTTTTTTTACAAAATTTCAATTTGTATTTTGACTTTGTACACATTTTTTGTACAACATTCACTTATAACTTTTACAATAACTTATCGTATGGATTTTGTTATAAAAAAACCATTGGTTCTTGTACACCGTATAGAATTTTTATTCAATGACCACATAATAAACCTTATGTTGTACTGTTACACAACTGTCCAAGTTGAGGGGAGAGTTTGGCGCCAACTTACATGTTTAACCCCACCACATTTTTATGTGCCTGTCCCAAGTCAGGAGCCTGTAATTCAGTGGTTTTTATTTGTTGCTAAGTTTTTTGTTCATTATTTTGTAGATAAAATATAAATTAGGCTATTAGTTTTCTCGTTTGAATTGTTTTACATTTGTCATTTCAAGGCCTTTGATATCTGACTATGCGGTATGGGTTTGCTCATAGTCGAAGGCGGTATGATGAGCTATAGTTGTTAATTGCTGTGTCTTTTTGTCTCTTTTGGAAAGTTGTCTCATTGGCAATCATACCACATCTCCTTTTATACTAATTTACAAAACACAAAAATAGTTATGTATCATTTGTTTGAGCATGTGAGTGAAATATTGCCTTTGGGAATTACACAACATCTTTTGCTTTTAGCATTCACATTTAGAAGTGCTACTCTTCCTCTTTGTATTTACATGAAAGAGAACCCTGAATACCAAAATTTTTTAAAAGCTTTTTAACTGCTTCACATAGTGAAAGTTGAAGCTCAGAAACCGTTGCTGCAAATAAAGATGTGTCTTTAACAGCTTCAATTTAATTTCTCCACAAACGTCCTTTTAAAAATTTAACAGCTGTTCCAATGCGGTACCCAAATTCTCCATATTCAATAACTTCACATAAGATGCACGATTGTTGTTTCACTTGGTGTCATCCAAATTGTCACGCGGGCTAATTTCTATTATGCTATCAGAATAGTCACTTGAGCCAATTTCTATTATATTTTCATAATTAACTGTATGCATGTATCAATTACATTTTCTGTCTCTAATTTGGTATTTTTTGAATTTTATAACTAAGGTTATTATGTGGTCATTGAATAAAAATTCAGTAGTGTGCATCAATGTTTTTTTTATAACAAAATCCATACGAGAAAATTGCTTTTCAGAAAAATGTTCTAAATATCAAATTAATATAAGTTGTCTTGAAAAATTAAAAACGAAACGACAAAAATTGATCTATAAAATGCCCTTGATTTTTAAATATTCCTTTAACAAAAACAGAAACTAACAATTTTGTTCAGAAAAAAATCAACATCCATTCTATAAATTATTGAACAAGTTTTAGGTGAATTTGTAATTTTTACATGGACTTTTTTGTACAAATTACAATTTGTACAAAGTCAAATAACAAATTATAATTTGAACATTTTTTTGGGACAAATTTGTACAAAGTCAAAATTGTACACAACATATATAAAAGGTGTTTCTGTTAAGGTCGTATGGACCTAGGCCTATCCTCATCAGGTATCCCTAGCCATATGTTTTCCTTTTTTGTGATATTGAGAATTGTTCGAATTTGAATTTTACGTATATATTGGGATAAAGTTCCTGTACCCCCATGCGTACATGTATATCAAATTCAAATCAATTATCAAAATAACAAAAAGGAAAACATATGGCAAGGGATTCCTGATGAGGATCATAATTAATACCGTTTCGATCCCTAACATCATTGAAGAGACATTAATTGTCGAAATCCGGAT